CAGTTTCTTAGTCTCACTAGCTGCATTTCAAGAGCTCAGTACCCACATGTGGCCAGTGGCTACTATACAGGACAGCACAAGACTGCAGACTATTTCCATCACCGTAGAAGTTCTGTTGGAAGCACTGAGCATCCCTGCAGTGGTTCCCTGGAGCTGTCTCTCTTCTTTCCCGTGGGATCCCTTCACTTGGGGACATTGAAATGAGCCCTCCAGAGAAGGAAAGGGAAGCATCAGCTCAAGGAGCCTCTTCTGTGCCTGTGCTCAGGCTGCCCCAAGGACACCCCAACTGGTGGCATTGACTCCCCCAGCCCATCTGCAGAGAGGCAGCACCGTCCACCTTGGACTTGAGCCATCCAAGTTTTCGGAACCTGTCGCATAGTCCTGTCTACTTCCCCCTGGAGGTTTCCCTGCTCTTGATGCTAACAGTCCCCATCCTCAAGCAGAGATGAGGGTAAAAATAAAGTATTTCTTTTAGGGCAGCTGTTAGACTGAGGATGTAATGAATCATTTGCATTTATGTAAATTACATGATTATGTAAATTACAGTAACATTTCAATACAAGAAACTGTCAGGCCTGCTGGAATTTGGAGAAAGGGCAGCACTGGGAGGCAGGAGATGCCCGTGGTTGAAGTGCTCCCCGGGGGTGGAAGAGAAGCATCAGGACATCTGTCAAGATTTGTCGACGATCTGTTGGGTGGAAGCACACAGGAGGCACTCCAAAGAACCCAGAATGCTCCCAGGACCTAAAAGGTGACACCTCTCTTGCAACATCAGGACATCTGTCAAGATTTGTCGACGATCTGTTGGGTGGAAGCACACAGGAGGCACTCTAAAGAACCCAGAATGCTCCCAGGACCTAAAAGGTGACACCTCTCTTGCAGAGAGAGACTGAAGGCATTGGGTTAGCCTCCTGGGCACTGTTCGTCTCCTCCATGGCTGAAGCTTCAGTGTTCAGAATGTCACCAGGGCTAAAGGGGATGCTTGATCGGAGCAGGGGAGAGCATTAAGAAACACATATTTTGTTTCTGAAATTATAATTGCTTTAGGCAATGACACGTTCTTAATTTCTTCTACTTTCTCTTTAAAACAAAGTAGAAAGTAGCACAGAGCAAGATTTAGGAGAAACCCAAACTCCAAAGTGAACCACCTCCGTGTCTCTGAGTTAGCTGCTGGGAGCTCTGCTGGTCTCCGAAGGCACGCACCTGTCTCACTCCTGTGTTGTGGCTTTTCGGCCCCTGTTCCTGCCCCATCTGCATCAGCTCACATTTCGCTGTTTCAATACTATTAGCACTTCCCGGCCGGCCTCTGAACCCTCTGTTCCTGCCCTTTGGCTCCCTGGGCCCCCATGGTTTGGCCTTGGGGCTCCTCTGCACGGGTCTGAAGGGCCTCTTGATGGGATGTATACAGAAGCAACATCTGGTTCCACTTAATCCGGACTTGCCCTCTGGGTGAATGAGCTCTTTATTGCATAATCTAAGGGGACCCACAGTTATGCCTTCCAAACATTTCTGAACTATGTAATGAGGGAGAGCATTTTAAAAAATCCTAATACTTAAATAAATTGTTTGGGAGGATTGGTAATTATTTTATGGATAGGAGGAAGGGCTTTTCAATAAAGGAATTTTAAGTGCCTTTCGCAGAGTTCTATAGAAAAATTTAATATTAGCATAAAGAAAACCGGAAGAAAAATGATTTTATTACCAGATATTAGGGGAAACATAGAAAGAGGAGAATAAGAAACCTGGATAAAAAGATACAGAGAACATGTGAGCTGCACCCTGAGGCTGGGGACATGGAATAGATTTGGGGACACTGTGCTCTGGGGGTGAGACTGTTTTACTCCTAATGTTGGTTTTAAGCCTCATGTGAAAATGACCTCAGGAGCTTGGCCACCATTTAACAAGAGTCAATAATCCACCAGACTAACAGTAGTCAGAAACCCAGACAAACTAAAGCTTCTTTGGCTGCCATGACTCCCTTCCTTTGGGGAATCTCAAAACTCACTCTAGAAATGATCATTTCTACGCAACAGATGAATATCCTGAGCAAAAGGTTCCCAACCATATTTAAAGTTGTGTTTCTCAAAATGCAGTGTGGTACTTCTGGCGTCAGAATCACTGGAGAAGAAGCCAGTTAAAATACAGTTTCCTAGGTCCTGCCCTTGAGCCTGCAGAATTAAAATCTCTGGGTTCTGCATTTTAAATAAGCATGATGGATGATTGCAATGCACACTGAAGTTGGAACACCAGTTAAAGCAAAAAGAACCAAGACCTAACCTTGAGGACTCAAACCATATCTTTTCCATTTCTTTGCAACACTGGAGAAATGTAATTTTTCTCAAAATCACAAAACTCTGTCCTTGACAACTGGCCTGTGAATACACAGAGCAAATCTTCGGGTAACAGCCAGGAGGCATTTGCTTTTGCGGCTCGTTGCTGTCTTGTCTGAAGGAAGTGCAGAGCTGCTGGCGCCTGCGTTTTCAGTGGTCTCAGTCTGCGATCTAGACGCCACACCCTGAGGGCAGAGGGGTGCTTTGCCCAAAGACTGAACTCGGGTGAGCGTGTCACCTGCAGCCCAGAGAAGCAAAACCTCTTTACTTCTTCACACATCATTAGCAGCAATTACATCTACTTTGTCTTGGACGTGTCCAGATAAATTGGACAGAAGACAAGTTATTTCACACATAATCCAGGAAGTGTCTATGTTGAAAACAGAGAAAAGAGCTGACACGGGCAAAATTGCTATTGGAAGTCCCTACTGCTAAGTCCATGCTCCTGGGAGATCTGACCTACTCAATTCTGTTTTGTCACATTGTCCTTATGAGTGTGGTCATCTCTTTCCAGAACTCAGCAAAGTAGATTGGTTGCATCCATTTACACTGTCGTCTAACCATGTCTCTTGAGAAAAGTAATTTTCAAGAGTCATCCTAAAATATCCCAAAGGCAGAAGAGCAGAATGCACATAATCACGGGTTCATACATCACAGGATACAGCTCACCGGAAAGAGTGAGACGTGTGGGTGGAGGGGAAAAGCAGTGTCCTCTAGGTTGCAGGTGCTTGTAACTTTCCACAGGTAATAACTGAGAATAAGAAAGTGGAGCTTAGGTGTGTCCTAAAGACTATTAACCAGGAGTTGAAAAGATGAAGCACGTCTTCAGTTCCGACGTGGTGTACTAAACCCACCTTCCTTGAAGTGGGTCTCGATCCTGCCATTGTGGCTCCTGGAGTTAGGGCAGTGTGATTAGCATAGTTCCCTTCCTGTCTTAATCTGGAAAGTCTGGAGGACGAGCTCTAGAGCATGCATAATACAACTTTCAGGGCAACGCTGACCTCCTAGAAAACTTTGTGATGGTTTGTAAACCTGAGATGTTCAGTGTTAGGAACTGCTACTCACTGAAGTAGCTATCTGGTTCCTAGCAGAAAGTCTCTTATCAAACGTCATGTTTATCTTATTTGCATAGAGATTTACAATAAAGTAATCCACAGGTAAATTCTCTATAAAACAGGTGAGTAGACCCTTTGGTGGATCTATTACCATTTTGTAGGTAAGAAAACTAAGATCCAGAGAGACTGATTTCTCCAAGGTCATTAGAGCTGGTAAGGGGGTGTATTAGTCAGGGTTCTCTGGAGATCTATGCTTGTGTGTATGTGTGTGTGTGTAAAGAGATTTATTATGAGGGACTGGCTCACATTATTATGCAGGCTAAGTCCCACGATCTTCTATCTATAAAAGCCAGTGTTGTAGAGCCAGCCCAATCCTGAAGTCCTGAGAACCAGGGAGCCAATGATTCAGGCTGAGTTTAGGCTCAAGAAACAGGAGCACCAATATCCGAGGGCAGGAGAAGGTGGGTGGCCCAGAACAAACAGAAAGGGCAAAATTGCCCTCCTGCTGATTTTTTATTCTATTTGGACCCTGAACAGATTGAATGATGCTCAGCCACAATCTTCTTTCACTAAGTCTCCAATTCAAATGCTAATCTCTTCTGAAAAACAATCTCACAGACACACTCAGAAAATAATGTTTCACCAGCCATCTGGGCATCCCCTAACCCAGTCAAGTTGACACATAAAATTAAACATCATGGGAGGGCAGAGGCAGTATTAGGAATCAGATTTCCCAACTCCTATTTCAATGTTCTTTCCATTTGCCACACTTCTTCTGGACAGCATGGCTTGCCAAGCTAAAGAGTTGGGCTTTCCCCCGCAGGTGATACAGAGCCACTGATCCATTAAACAAGAGAATAATGTTCACAGGTGTTCTTTGTAGAGACACCACTTGGAGGGCTCTGAGGATTGATTGAGGGTGAAAAGGGAAGAGGAGGAGATGGCAGAGATGCTATTGCATTGCCACCCTGGCCTGCAATGAATGCAGTGCATCGGCCACATCAGTTCAGGTATGCAATGTAGAGGGCCTCAATGAAATGGGCTGTGGAGGGACACATGGGGTGCAAATCCACAGGACAATTAAGCTGAATAGATATCATGGGAGTTGGGGAGAAGGCCAGCTTAAAATCATTCCCAGGTTGGGTGGCTGGGATACGAACATGGGCTGAAGTACAGAAAGGTGGTGCAGTATTGGGGAAAAGTTCAAAAATTGAATTTGGGACATGAGGATGTCTACTAAAGAATTGTTTATCTATGACTGAACCTTGAGGAGTGTCACTGCCAAGAACACAGGGTGGGGTTGTTGTTGGCACAAGGGTGGCCATGGTAATGGGCGCTGTGGGGAGGACAGGGAGTGAGGTGGTCAGGAGGTGGTCAGGAGGGGACTCTCACAGACCCAGGTGCCCCCAGTCAAGACTCCTGTTCCAAGCACCCAGGAATCAGGCTGGGGCTCTGGGTGACCAAATTAGTGGGAAGAAGGGAAAGCCGCCTCCATGCACAGACATGCACTTGCTCATACCACCAGTGTCCCTGAGGGAACTCTACGTGGAGGAGCCATGCATCACCCGTGCTGAGAAGTGTACTGAAGGGGACTAAAGTGGCAGGAACAACTTACCACAATGAGGGCAACCACAGACAGCGTATAGTAAATGGAATCCCTCAGCAGGCACCAGGAGGAAAGAGCCACAACCTAGAGGCACAGGGAGACAAAGACAACAAGAAAGGATATCAGACCATGCAAACGAAACCCGCAGGCAGGCTCTGGACAGTGATAAGCCAGAAACAGCCTCACAGCTATGCCTCCTGTCCTGGCCCCAGTCAATCTGCCAAGCAACAGGGATCTAGTATAAAGGTCTTTGGGCATGTCAGTCTGGATCTTCTGAGAGGCAGATACCAAGATGGGATTAAAACCTGCAATAATTTGGTTAGGGAGAAATGGATGGGGATAGGAAATGGGCAAGGAGCCAGGGGAGCTGCAGAGCTTCCTACCTGCCCATGACGCAGGCTGAGCCCTGGGAAGGAGAGAAGGTTGGTGGACGGCCCTCTGAGGAAGGTGCAGCAAGGCTGAGGGGGGACTGTCTATGCAAAGTCGCCCAGTGGATGAGTCTCCTGTCTCCCAAGACCAGGCCTGCCCTAGCACCCTAACACCAGAGGAGCAAAGTTAACCTGTGCCTTTGTCAATGGCCCTGATGAAGGAACATCTGCTGCAGCCTGTACTTCTGTGTGGAACCAGCAACCTGAGCTGGCAGCTGCTGCCCCTCAGAGGGGCTCAGACAAGCCTGTCATGCGGTCGCCTCCTGCCCTCTTCCCTGTTATAGTCCTGGCCTTACTGGCATTTGACTCCTGGGTTAATCAGAATTTTTAAAAGATTGATTTGCATTCTATACTGATCTGGAGAAAATGTTATTCTTAGCATTTGGGGGATGTCCCTTTAGAGACATGCTGGATCTGCTGAGACCAGAGGATAGGCACATTGCTGGGGGCTGAGGCAACCTCGTCTACTGGAGAGGGAGGCACCGGGAGCAATGAGGAGGCAGAGGAGCTGGCTGGGCATCATGGGAGGGGAGGGCAGGCAGAGGGAACCTGGTGGTTGAGACTCTTGTGCTGGAGGAAGGGTCATTTCTCCCTGGTAAGTCTTTCAAAGTCTCTTTTTGAGGAGTACTTAGTATTTTTCTGTGTTCACAGAGTAGGTCCATTTTGGCAAACCCTACAAGGAAGTCTGGGAGAGTGCACAGTGCCATGTCAGAAGGCAGTTCCTGGATTGTCACCCACAACTCCCTCCTCCCTAGAAGAGTATCAGCCACCCATGGCCACAGATATGTGTCTGGCTGCCTTTGCCCTTGGCCTAGTAAGTGAGAAAGGACACAGCAAATGTTGACAGTCTCAGCTGAGCCAATGACAGGAACATGCTACACCAGAGACAGTAAGAAAAAGGGATCCCAGGGACAATGCCACCTTCTGAGCCCCTCCTCGTGACTGCTTCAGCAGTCTCCAAAGAAAGATCAGGCAAAGTCAAGCCAGAGAGGGCGTTCTGGATTCAAATAACATAAAAGATAGGACTTAAATAGAAACATAAATGAATAATGAGGCCAGTCTCTTTCCATTACCCATTCTCCTACATGTTCTATGGACACTTAGGGATTTTCTGTTGCTAATTTTGCCTTATTAGGTGTCGTATTTGCAGATCTAAGTTACAGATGATGAGATTGTCAGGAAGAGAACTCACACCACAAATATCACTTTAGAACAAATTTAAAGTATTTGTTACCCCTTAAACATTCTCCCCTTCTATTGTAAACTCTTAGAACCTGTGGTCATCACCACATATGGTGAATCTATGGAATAGATTAGGTTGGACTAAATTGTTCATTTTCCAGTAAGTCATAAAAGGTTGTAAATATTTATTCAATTCATTATAATCAGGCAAATGAACTTAAAAGGTGTGGTAAATGTCAATTCTGAATTGCTTTAACAAATTACTTGGGCGTTTATTTAAAGATGGCAGATTGAACACATTCCATTACCTTTGCTCTTTCTTGTTGCACCATAACAATATAATAGTAAAGGGATTTTTTTAAAAAACAGACATAAAACCACAAGACAAAAAAAAAATTAGAAGAGCTGATCAGAGCACCAAAATTTTGGAAGCTGGAAAGCAGGACAAATAATCATTCAGTTGGCAGTGGGAAAAGATCTAGAATTGGAAGTAAAGATGGGCCTGAAAACAGGACAATTAAAAGACTGTAAGAATTTAATCCCCAAACCACTTCCCTCACTTCAGGCAGCCCAGTTACCACCCATCCCATACCTTAACAGAAAACGAGATCCGGCATTTGAAGAACAAAAATTCCGGAAAACAGAGAAAACAGAGGAGAGAAAATAATCAAATAAATAATTCAAGAACAATTCCCAGAAGTTAGGGACATGTGTTTTCAGAGCAAAGGGGTCCTCTGAAATCTGAGTGTTCTTTATTGACAGGATGATGAACAAAAAAAGATGTACACCAAGGCACGTGAACCATGAATTTCTCCCAGAAGTTAGGGACATGTGTTTTCAGAGCAAAGGGGTCCTCTGAAATCTGAGTGTTCTTCATTGACAGGATGATGAACAAAAAAAGATGTACACCAAGGCACGTGAACCATGAATTTTATAGGACAAAGAACAGAGCTCAAACTACCAGACAGAGCAGACAGGTTTATATACAAAGAATCAAAACCCAAATGACATTTTATTTCTCAACAAAGACAAGGAAAGCTAGAAGAAAATGGAATCATGCCTTAAGAGAGAAAATAATTAGAGAGAAAATAATTTCAACCTGGATTCTATGCCCAACCAAAATTATTAATTAAAAGTGAAAAAATAATAAAAATACAAGTTTATCTCAAAAAGTTTACCTCCTATGTACCTTTTCTTAAAAAGCTACTGCAGGATGTACTCCACTAAAATAAGGGAGTAAACTCCTTGTTACATAAAACTATATTAAAATAAATCATTATATCAAGCAACCAGAATACATAATAATAATTGAGGAAATTTCCAGACTGATGCAAAGGGAGATTCTAGACAGAAGGTAAAAGTAGATTATGATATAACTATTTGGGGAGGATGGGGGGCTGGATAATGGGGTGGGGCTAAAAGAGGCCTAAACTCTCCTCTTCCATACTGTGAAGTCAATGAAGAATGCTTGTAACTGAGAAATCAGATAGCTTTGATCTAAGCATGTTCTTTAGAGATACTGAACAAATATCAGCAACAGCCAATCTAGTAGAAAGTAGGTGCCTCAGAAGAATGAGATATTGGTGTTGATGTGACTGGAAGATGGCTGTTTTTCACAATCAGCTTTCTAGAAGTGGTTGCCTCTTTAAGTTCTGCACATATATAATTTTAATAAAAATAAAAAAATAGGAAAGTATAATACAAATTATCCATTTAGATTCACTGCTGTAAGAAATACACCTTGCATTAGGCCTAAATGTGAAATTTGGGTGGACAGTGATCTATTTTCTCTCTTCATAAATAGAACGGTTTTCAATGTCTGATTTTCATCAAATTTCAGCCCCAAATTCAAAGCCTAACCTCAGCAAAACCAATTTTTTCCTATGGAAGGGATGAACTGGAGCACAAGTGAAAAGGAGTCAGACTGGAGGATAATTTCTTTCCACACTCTAGAAGAAATTAAAGAAAGGCATATATCCAAATCATTTGCCAGCAATCAGGGCATGGTGAAATCAAAGGACTTAATCAAGATCATATGACCAGCAATGCGGAAAGAGTTGGGATATGAACCCGGGGAGCCTGGGTCATAAACCTCTGTCCCCAAGCACATTATCATGGTGTCTCGCTGGAGGTGAGGATGAAACACAGACACACACTGGTGATTGCCTCCTGGGGAGGTGATCTTTTCTCCACTACTTTAAGCTGGTAGGACAGGTATCTTAGAGGTGGTAGCCAAAGAGGGGAACAGTTGAAGGCTGAGAAATGAAAAAGCAGTGACCACAGCTAAATTTTTAAAAATAAACTCCTTTAAAGAGATTTTGGTAAGCAATCAAATCAGAAAAGAGTTACCTTAAGGACCATAGATATGGATATGTATATGGTGCGGATATATTCTAGGAGGGAGAAGTCAGTTCAATAAATACTGAAACTACTTGTCCATTGGGCTAGTTTAGTTTACAAAAATGAAACACCAACACAGCTCATTGAATGTCACTTTACCATAAACACAAACAAACGGATCCTAAGGTGTCTGTGTGGTTCCCTTTGCTTCTCCAGAGAAGGGTCTTTTATTTCTAGATGGGGGCCGGCAACCACCTGACGCAGACCCTGAGCACATTTGCTGGCAGAGAGGAACACGTTAGCATTTCTGCCTCAAAATAGGAGGCTTCTGGCATCTGGTGGCTGGTGTCCCCAACCCAGAGCAGGCTGGTGAGAAGACATCTCATGTTCCATCATACTTTGCAAAATGACTGCAATAAAGGCAGACAAGTCACTCTGGTGAAGAGACCAGAATAAGGGTCCTGGGAGAGAACCAACAGTGAGTAATTCTGCCCTTGACCTCACTGATCAATAATACAGATGGTGCTGACTACAAAAGGCCATCGGTGGCAAACTCCTCCACAAATTCAGCCAGGAGCTCTGTTTCCCCCTATCGCTCTAGGAATCCCCCCCAGCTGTAATTTCATCTTGATATATCTTTTTCTATTTCTGGAGTGCATTTCACACATTCTTTATTGAATATGCAGCTTCAGTTTCCTTCTTACAATTTCATGTAGTTTCAAAGTGGCATAATGCAAAAAAACCAAAAAACCAAAAAAACAAACCACACTTCCAAAATAAAGGAAAATACATTCTTCTCTCTCAGTTTCCTTCTTACAATTTCATGTAGTTTCAAAGTGGCATAATGCAAAAAAACCAAAAAAACAAAAAAACAAACCACACTTCCAAAATAAAGGAAAATACATTCTTCTCTCATGAAATTTGGCTCCTTCTAGGAAGTTAAAAGTAATTGCTTATGATAATACTATATATTTTCTGTATATGGATATGTATGGTAAATCTACATACAGCTATTTATATATATGTCAATATACACATAATATATATGGAGATATATAGTGTGTGCATATAAATAATACATCATAATCCTTATGACAATTTTTCTTGATGAATAATAGAATCTGACATTGCAGG